TCTGATCCTGGCAGCACCAATTTACTTCAAAAAAGGATGATGGGCATCAAAGAACCTCCATCTGGAGATTGCTTTCCTTGTGGCAAAGTTAGCCACTGGACAAGAAACTGTCCTTGCCTCGACTGCTGACAGTGTGCTGTCCAAACTGGACATGCAGGACACAAAAGAAAGTAACTGCCCAACTTTGCCAAGACAAGGTGGGGCAGTCCTTCAAATTCCTGCTTCACAGAAAAGTTTTCAGATAGTCTAGGACTAAAGGTCAAAAGCAGATGCCCCAATGATGCAGAGGAAACTTGGATGACTGTTCAGGCAGTCAACTGTTTCTGTCATATCTATAGTTTTGGAAGTTGTTTGTTCCACACTTCCTGTTTACTCAGGTAATAAATATTGTATCCTTCTTGGGTCTCTGATGAGGTTGAAGATTAGAGAGTTATAGTTACAGTTTTCCTTGTTACCACATTCAGAAAAGAAACACAAAAGAGCTGTAAAGGTTGAGAGACATAAAAGCTTAAATTGTCTAAGAAAATGTTTTGAGGTCTAAAAGATAATTTTGGGTTGGTAATACAAGTTAGGATAGAAAGTGAATTAAGGCCTTTAATCCCAGCACTCGGGAGGCAAAGCCAGGCGGATCTCTGTGAGTTCGAGGCCAGCCTGGTCTACAAAGTGAGTTCGAGGCCAGGTTGGTCTCCAAAGCGAGTTCCAGGAAAGGCGCAAAACTACACAGAGAAAACCTGTCCTGAAAAACCAAAAAAAAGAAAAAAGAAAAAAGAAAGAAAGTGAATTAGGTATAGATACAGAACTTTGGACTCACCAAGATAGATAATAGTTTCTCTGAATTTGCCAAATGCAAATGGACTGGACATTGTGAATGTAATTCTTACCTGATAATTGTTTTAATTATATATAATTTAACTGTGTTAAAATCTTCCCTATTTAGACAAAAAAAAAAAGAAAGAAAGAAAGAAAGAAAGAGAAAAAGAAAAAGGAAATGTTGTGGGATATTTGGACACTGTATGAAGATGTATTGCTGTGACTGGTGTAATAAAAAGCTGAACATCCAATAGCTCTCTGGGAAGAAGAGAGGCAGAGTCATCAGCAGACATGGAGAGGAAACAGGAGGTGCAAGATGAAAGAGAGGTAATGCCACATGACAAAACTAGAGTAATACAAATGGGTTAATTTAAGTTATAAGAGTTAGGTGAGGGCTGAAGAGATGGCTCAGAGGTTAAGAGTACCGACTGCTCTTCCAGAGGTCCTGAGTTCAATTCCTAGCAACCACATGGTGGCTCACAACCATCTGTAATGAGATCTGGTGCCCTCTTCTGTATATATAATAAATAAACAAATCTTTAAAAAAAAAAAAAAGAGCTAGGTGAATTGGGCGGTGGTGGCACACGCCTTTAATCCCAGCACTGGAGGCAGAGCCAGGCGGATCTCTATGAGTTCAAGGCCAGCCTGGGCTACACAGAGAGATCCAGGACAGGCACCAAAACTACACAGAGAAACCCTGTCTCAGAAAAAAAAAAAAAAAAAAAAAAAAAAAAAAGAGCTAGCTGAGATAAGCCTAAACTAAAGGCAAAGCTTTCATAGTTAAGAAGTCTCCATGTCACTATTTGTGAGCTGGCAGCCAACAAATAAGCTTGCTACAAAGGGGGAAATCTCATGGAGCCCCAACCCTAGAAAAAGAACTATAACCAGCTGGGCAGTAGTGATACAGAGGCAGGCAGATCTGAGTCTGAGGCCAGCCTGGTCTACAAAGTGAGTTCCAGGACGGCAGGGCTGTTACACAGAGAAACCCTGTCTCAAAAAACAACAGGCCAGGCGGTGGTGACACACACCTTTAATCCCAGCACTTGGAAGGCAGAGGCAGGCGGATCTCTGTGAGTTCCAGACTAGCCTGGTCTACAAAGTGAGTTCCAGAACAGCTAGGACTGTTACACAGAGAAACCCTGTTTCAAAAAATTAAAAAAAAAAAAATCTAATTTCAGAGAGCAAGAGGTGGATAAATGTAAGATGGTTTAGAGGGAGTAGAGGATTTAGAGGGGAAAATAATGAACTATAATCTCAAAAAATTAAAAATATACTTTCAAAGTGAGATTTTTCTTGGTCATCCTGCTACAATTCCAATCCCCTATAATTTGGCCCACATCACTCTCCCATCAGCACCACCCAATTCTACATACTCCTGGTCTCCTGTAGAGAATGTCAGCTACCTCAAGATAGCATTTTTTTGGGTCCATTTTTCTAGTCCCTGATACTCAAGGAATTTACAAATTAGTTTATAGAAAGAATAAGTAAGGTGGAACACCTTTAATCCCAGCACTCAGAAGGCAGAGGCAGGCAGATCTGTGAGTTCAAGGCCAGCCTGGTCCACATTGTGAATTCTAGGACAGCTAGGGTTTTGTGGAGAGACCCTGCTGAAATAGAGAGAGAGAGAGAGAGAGAGAGAGAGAGAGAGACAGAGAGACAGAGAGACAGAGAGACAGAGAGACAGAGAGACAGAGAGACAGACAGAGACAGAGACAGACAGAGACAGAAACAGAAACAATTACAGGAACAACCATAAGCCATACTGCTATATTACAATGGTGGAGAAAGGCAGAATTTTCAAGGACCCTAGGGATCACAGGGTAGACTATAAAAGGCCATCCAGCGTTACATCAGGAGAAAAACTGCCCCATCATACCCTTAAAAAAAAAAAAACTGTATATTTTTATCAGTACTAACACAGGTCTTCAAACACAAATGTCTTTTCGAGTTTGATCTCCCAGGCAGCATTCAATACCCACTTGAGGTCCCATATGTTGAGAGATACTTTGATAGCACTCTAACACTCCTGAGGCTGCCCAATAAAGTTATACCTTGAATCAGAGGGTAGAACCAGTGACTAGCTGACCAGAATTGGCCATAGAGAAGCCAGCAATTTGGATAGAGAAGCCACACAGGAGACTGGAGTCTGAGCTTCCTCTTGGTTCTGGGAGAGGGTCTGTAGCAGGGTCTCAGGCCAAAAAGCAAGGTCAGCTAGCTGCTACCTAGCCTCTCAGAGCTGGCAGGTGTTACCCTAGCCTTTGACTCCTGAGTTTTATTGACAAATAGAATGAAAGAGACTTAACTGAAACCTAACTATCCCAGCTGCAGCAGAGCCAGGTCACCACCTGAGTGTGCAGTGGGGTGCTGAGGGGCTGTGAGGCCACAGACAATAATCAATATAACAGTAGATTCATGTGCAGCCAATAAGCCGACAGGAAACCATCACATATGCGACTACACAGCTATATACTTAATCTGGACCGTTTTATACATCAAAGGTAATACAACTGACTATTAAACTGCGTTTTCCATCTTAATTTAAAAATTTCATATTAAGAGCTTTAGGTATTTAGAAAATATCTGCAAAGAAAGTGGAGTTGAGGTGGTCCTGGTCTTTAATCCCAGCACTGGGGAGGCACAAGTAGGCAGATTTCTGTGAGTTCGGGGCCAGCATGGTCTACATATCTATGAGTTCCAAGACTACATGGTGAGGCATTGTCTTTAAAAAAAAAAGGGGGGGGGTTAATTAAATAATTTTAATTAAATAATTTTACGTGTTATTCACTCCATACCTCCAGCAAGCATTGCGGCAGTTTCAGTATTTCATTCTAATATATATATAGATATCTATATATATATATCTATACTTCACAAATTTACACCTGGTTCATGTTTCTTGGAGAGTCAAGGTCCCTGCTTCCTCCAGCCTTTTAAAACACTTAAGAGAGATGCCGCAAACTACTGAAATGTGGAAGCATCACTCCCAAGAGCCAACTTCATGTATGGTGTAGCTGTTAGTAGAAGAAAAACAAGAGCAACGCCATTCAAGACACTTAAACCAGGTGGCAGGATTCCTTCACAAAGGAGTGGATTTTTGAAGGCAAAGCAGTTCTTTAAAAAATTAATTTAAAAAAAAATGAAAACGCTAATGCTGCTGGGGGGAGGGGGATGAAAGAGAGAATCTTTGGGAGGGGGGGTATTTTTAGGTCTATTAGCAAACGATGTATTTGGTAGATTTACATCTCCAAGACAGCTTGCCAGGAAAAACAAAGACCTGTACTCTCTCTCTGGAGCTTCGGAAGCAAGAGCCAGTTCAAAAACAACACCCACACTTAAAGCCAGTATCAGGACGCCAAGAAGTCAAAGTAGGATGCGACTGAATCCCTGTCTCCAGCCGCAGCAACAGAAGCGTGGGCCAACCTACACAGGCTATTGAACTTTAAAGACAAAAGATGTGCATCTCGTGGATGCTGGAACGTCAGCCACCAACTTGACAGAAGTTAAAGAGCTCGGCTTCTTCACTAGGGCAGGCTATGGCCTAGCTCCGCGGCGGACGGGTCCGCCCCGGGCACCAATGTGCCCGCGTCCTGATCGTCCCTCAGGCTTGCTGCCCTCCCGCCCAGAGCCGGGAGCCCACAGGCTGGGGCGCTCCCCAAGGGCCTCCGAGGCGCCGGAGGCCGCGGCGTTGACGGGTGACCCGGCGAACCGGGTGCGGAGCGCTGCGGGGAGGCGCGGCCCGCCCTGCTAAACACACCGGCCTCCGCCCCACCGGGCGGCCTCAGGAGCCCGCCCGCGACAGGGTAGGCGCCCGCCCTCCTCACCTGCGTCCATCTTCCCTGTCCGGTCGCCGACTGACCGTAGTGTCGCTCCGACGGACGACTGCGCGACACCGCGACGGGAAGCCGCGGGAGCCAAGCGCGGCGCAGCGGAAGCGCGGGCGTCGCCATCTCGCCGTACGGCGGTGGGACCGCGGGGGGGGCGGGGCCCCGACGCATGTGGTTCCTGACCCGACCCAATCGCCCCGCCCCGCGCCGCCACTTCGGAGCACCCTTGATCAAGCCGGCCCGAGCGGCGCTCGTCCGGCGCAGCCATCTTTCCGTACAGACCGCTCCCCGCGCATGTCTCGGTACGGACTCGCCGCCCGCTGCGGCCGCGACGCTCGCGCCGTGGTCCGGCCGCCCGGGCGCAGCGTGGTGCGGGCGGCAGCGCGCAGCCATCTTGCCGTACGGCTCGGCCGCGGCCCACGTCCCGAGCTGTGTCGCCGCGCTCCCTCGGGGCGGGTCGGACCAGCGGGCGGGCGGCAAGGACCGGAGCCTGGCGGCGCCCACGACCGAGGCCCGCAATGGTGATCTGCTGCGCGGCGGTGAACTGCTCCAACAGGCAGGGCAAAGGCGAGAAGCGCGCTGTCTCCTTCCACAGGTACGCGGCCCGCCTCCGGGTCCGCCACGCCCCCGCCCGGGCCGGGCCCGCGGGGAAACTGAGGCCGCGCGGTGGACCGGGCTCGAGGGACCGGGAGTCGGGGGCCAGCTAGTCGAGTGTAACTGAGGGAGGTGGACGGGTCGTGGAGCTTTGTGACCTTGGCCCGGACCGCCGGCTTTGGGGACCAGCGCGGCCATGCCTCGGGTAAAGCGGACGGAGGCCCCCGCCGCCGCCACCTCCAACTAACCCGCGACGCACTGATTTGGGCCGGCGCTGCCAGTTTCTGGAGCATCCTGCAAGGACGCTTTCTCAGGTTAATCCTGCTCTTAGGTTTCGAGCAGTTCTCCGCTCTTGCCTCGGCGGGGCAGCCCGTCTGGAGGTGTGGGGCAGGAGTGCGGCCCGGCGCACGCAGCTCTACTTCCTGCATCCATAGCCCTCATCGCTCTCCTACAGGGGTCCTGCGGCCAGGACACTGGCACTGAACACCTCCCTCATCCTGCATTCCAGCAGAGGCTGGCGGGAGGACCGTGGAAGGGCTTTCGGGACGGTTCTCGGGTGGCCCCGGCGCGGGCCGCGCCTTCCTAAGGCTTTCAAGACTCCCCCGATTTCAGTTGATCCTCTCCTGTGATTTTCAACAGGAGTGAACTGCGAGCGAAGGGGCTCTGCCTTAGAAGCCACTTTGCACATCGTGCCACCTCTTAGTACTTGGTGTTAAAATTTGAAGGTGGGCATGGCACGTGCCTGTTGAAAGTTCACAGGATTACTTACATTAAGTCTTGGGTCTTTACGGTCTGGTTCAAAACAAAACCTAGTAACATTAAACAACCTTAACAATTTCGGTTAAAACATGTCCCAGAAGTTTTGTTAACGATTTTAAAAAATGAGGCAGAGTTGCAAGGACTGCAGCTTGCATTTCCGATGTTCTAACCTGGTATGGGGGTAGACAGTGCCTGAATTGGGGGCGGGGAACCTCTTAGGAATCAAGCTCACAAAACATTGAGAAATAAGGTTAGAAGGTCACGTTGCTTAGAGTGTCCAGGTCATCCTGTTAGGGCTAGTCTTTGTCCACAGCTGCCTCCTGAGGGCTGGAAGACCTCAGGTGGAGCTCTGGGCCGTTGACCGTGGCCGCCAACCCTACAGATCCTGTCTTCGTAAGTGATCCTTAAATAGCTTCATTAGATGAGGGAAGACATTACTAAGTATGTTGTTGAGCATCTATTTTTTTTAATTTTCCTGTTATTACATAATATACAACATAAACTTACCATTTTTATTTTGGGGGTGTTTTGATTTCTGTTGTTTGTTCTTGGTGTTTTGAGACAAGGTCTCATTGAATAGCTTTGTTGGACCACAACTCTCTGTTATAGTCTATGCCGGCTTCAGACTTGTGTCCATCCTCCTGCCTCTGCTTCCCAAGTGCTTGGTTATAGGATTATAGGCATGAACTACCACTAACAACTTGTTGCTCTTTTTTTGAGATGGTCTTTCTACATAGCCCTGGCTATTCTGGGACTCACTATGCAGACCAGGCTGGCCTTGAACTCTCAGAGATCCACCTGCCTCTGCCTTCCAAGTGCTATACTCCCAGCTCCTTTTCCTTTCTTTTTTCTTTTTTTTTTTTCTTTCTTTTTTTTGAGACAAAATTTCAGCTGAGGCTGGCCCCATGTAGCTAAAGATGACACTGACGTCTCTCATCCCTCTCACTTCCTGGGTACTGGAATTACAGGTAGACACTACAGCACCTGGCTCTTGTTTTCTGTTTTTTTGTTTTGTTTTGTTTTTAAGAGGCACTAAGTTACCCAGGTAGGCCTTGAACTTAGTTTAGTGTAGCCCAGGCACATGTTGAACTTGTGATCCTCTTACTTGAGAGTAACCAAGATCACTGACTTGCACCGTTAGGCCTGGCTGGAGCTTTGGGGCTTTATGCCAAAGCTGTTCCCTATACCCTCAGCTACTTGAGCCTCAGCTGTGGTGGTTTAGCTGGGCCTCTGAGATATTTCCTGGTTTCTTGTTCCCAGCTCTATCGTCTGGCTTCTCATTAGGGTTTTAGCATTCTTTACCCTGCTTTTTGGATACTGGATGATTTGGTCAGTGGTACTACGCTTGTGAAAGCTATTTCCTGCTGTCTCTGAGCATCCTTTGTGCCCAGGGTGATTTGCCACACCTAGGAGGAGTATCCTTCATTCCTCTCTACCCTATAAACTCAGGGTCCTAAAAGATACACAGTAGGGCTTTCTTGAAGTGTGATCCTAATTAGTCATGGAGTCAGATATTGAGGGTGAAAGCTGAAAGATCAGTAATGACCTGCAAGATGGTCCTGAAATCCTTATGAGTTTTTAAGTGGATGACATCGGTATGGGTTTGGATGCTTGCAAAAATACTTGATTTGCTTTTATCGCTGATAGTTCTAGGGAAAGGCATCTCAGTAATTCTAAGTACTTTGTTATCTGTCCTGCAGGTTCCCCCTAAAGGATTCCAAACGACTGATCCAGTGGTTAAAAGCCGTTCAGAGGGATAATTGGACCCCCACTAAGTATTCATTCCTCTGTAGTGAGCATTTTACCAAAGACAGTTTCTCCAAGAGACTGGAGGACCAGCATCGCTTGCTGAAGCCCACAGCTGTGCCCTCTATTTTCCACCTGTCGGAGAAGAAGAGGGGGGCTGGAGGCCATGGCCATGCTAGGAGGAAGACCACAGGGACCATGAGGGGCCACACAAGCGCAGCGACAGGGAAAGGAACCATCGCGTCCTCACTGCCCTCAAGTGATACCTCCATGGCCAAGCCTGAGTCCCGAAAGTTGAAGCGAGCTTCTTCACAGAGTGATGCAACCCCCAAGGCCACCCCAGGTGCTGTGAGTCAGGAGCAGGGGCAGTCTCTGGAAAGAACTCCAGGAGCTGGACTGGCCGCCCCACTGACTAGCAGCCGGGTAGATGCAGAAGTGTCTGCTACAGAGGCTGACCACCAGAAGGCCTCTTCCTCCGATGACGCAGGCGGGGCAGACAAGAGCGGCATCTCCATGGACGACTTCACACCCCCAGGGTCTGGAGCTTGCAAGTTCATTGGCTCACTTCATTCTTATAGTTTCTCCTCCAAGCACACTCGAGAGAGGCCATCTGTACCCCGTGAGCCCATTGACCGAAAGAGGCCGAAGAGAGAGATGGAGCCAAGGTGCAGTGGGAATAGTGTGGCCCAGAGTCCCCCAAGTTCCTCGCTTACAGCAACCCCTCAGAAGGCTTCCCAGAGCCCCTCCGCCCCTCCGACTGATGTAACCCCAAAGCCAGCTGCAGAAGCTGTGCAGAGTGAGCACAGTGACGCCAATCCCATGTCCATCAACGAGGTCATCCTGTCGGCCTCGGGGGCCTGCAAGCTCATCGACTCCCTGCACTCCTACTGCTTTTCGGCTCGGCAGAACAAGAGCCAGGTGTGCTGTCTGCGGGAGCAGGTAGAGAAGAAGAACGGAGAGCTCAAGAGCCTTCGGCAGCGGGTCAGCCGCTCCGACAGCCAGGTTCGCAAGCTGCAGGAGAAGCTGGATGAGCTGAGGAGAGCCAGTCTCCCCTACCTCCCCTACCTAAGTGGCCTGCTGCCCCCCAGCCACGGTCAGTACTTAGCCAGGGTGCTCCCCTGCCTTCCGTACTCTGACTCCCAAGGGTTTTCCTGCTGTGTGCTGGGTCTCTGTGGGCTGCACGTCCCTTGTGATCTCATGAGAGTGCTCATTGGCCAGGGAGCCCAGGGTGTAGGAGACCTAGTCACAGGAGAGGCCTGTGTACATGAAAATATAGCACTGTAAGTAGCCAGGCATGGTGGCACACACCTTTATTTAGTCCCAGTACCCAGGAGGCAGGGGTAGGTGGATCTGTGAGTTCGAGACCAGCCTGCTCTGTGTAGTTAGCTCCGGGCTAGCCAGGACTACATGGAGCAGTGGTTGTTAACCACTAATGCTGTGACCCTTTAATACAGTTAGTTCTTCAGGTAGTGACCCCAACCATGAAGTTATTTTCATTGCTGCTTCATAACTGTCATTTTGCTACTGTTATGAATCATAATGTAAATATCTGTCTATTTTTTTCTTTTTCTCTTCCTTGGTGTTTTGAGACAGGGTTTCATTGTGTAGCCATGGCTGTCCTGGAACTCTCTCTCTGTAGACCAGGTTGGCCTTGAACTCAGATATCCACCTGCCTTTGCCTCCCAAGCTCTGGGATTAAAGGTGTCTACCACTACTGCCCTGCATATATCTGTTTTCTGATGGTTTTAGGCAGCCTCTGTGAAAGAATCCTTCAACCCCCAAAGGGGTCACGACCCACAGGTTGATAGCCACTGACATAGAGAAACCCTGTTCTCAAAACAAAAATAAAAAATCAAGTCAGCAGGCAAGGTCTCAGATGCTTGGCTCAAAGGTTTTTCATTGAAGGGGGAAGGATCTTAAGGAAAATAAAACGTACAGATACTTTTTTTTTGAACTGGGCTAGGGTTTGAATCAGGGTCTCACTATCTTGCTCTGGCTGTCTTCTATTCTGACCTTCATTCACATCTCACTGTGTAGACCAGGCTGGCCTTGAACTCACAGATCCACTTGCCTCTGCCACCGGAGTGGTGCATTAAAGTGTTCCACCACCTTCTGGCTAAACTAACTCTTTTCAAGTGTTTAGGAAAGCTGAGTGTGGTCTCTCATACTTGTAATCCCAGGACTGAATGCTAAAGACTGAGTTTTGAAATCCAGCCTGAGCTACCTCGTGAGATGTGAGTGAAGGCCAGAGAGAGCCTTCAGGAGGCAGTTCTCCTCTTCTCCCGTGGTAGTCCTAGAGATGGAACTCGGGGCAGCTGGGCAGCCAGAGAGAGCCTTCAGGAGGCAGTTCTCCTCTTCTCCCGTGGTAGTCCTAGAGATGGAACTCGGGGCAGCTGGGCAGCAAACGCCTTTACTGGCTGAGCAATCTTGGTGGCCCTCTTCTATAAAGATTAAATGCTAGATAAACCAACTGTTTATCATGCCTGTCCTTCAAGCACTTGGGGGGCTGAGACAGGAGGATTACCATTTATCTGAGTTCAAAAAAAAAAACCAAAACAAAACTTTTTACATACCTCCCAAATTTTATTCTTTGTTGGTATTTTTAAAAATTACAGCCGGGCGGTGGTGGCGCACGCCTTTAATCCCAGCACTCGGGAGGCAGAGCCAGGCGGATCTCTGTGAGTTCGAGGCCAGCCTGGGCTACCAAGTGAGTTCCAGGAGAGGCGCAAAGCTACACAGAGAAACCCTGTCTCGAAAAACCAAAAAAAAAAAAAAAAAAAAAAAAAATTAGTGTGTAAGTTTTAAATATTAATTGGCTATGTTTTTGGTTCTCCCACTATTTTACTAATTTTTTAATTTAATTGTTAAAATTGCATTTATTTTGTGTGTATATGGGGGTCAGGAGAGTGTTATGGCACACATACGAAGATCTGAGGACAATTTTGGGGCATGATTTCTCCTTCTACCACATGGTCCCAGGAATTGAACTCAGGTCATCGGACTTGGCAGCAAGTGCCTTTACTTCCTCAGCCGTCTCACCTGGCCCTTTATTTTACTTTTAGAAATTGATTTCTAGGCTGGGTATGGTGGCACATACCTTTAATCCCCAGAACCCAGGAGGTAGAGGCAAGTGGATCTGTGAGTTCAAGGCCAGCCTGGTCCACATAGGTCCATGTCAGCCAGGGATGTATAATGGGACTCCAAAAAGAAAAAAAAAAAAAAATGTATTTTGATTTGTAGGTATTCCTTACAGAGTGAGGACAGTGTGGATAGTGTTCAGTGTATATGGAAAACTTTTCTGACCACATTCACTTTGTCTGTATCAGCATTTGCCAGTACAGGTATGATGGCCCTGTCTGCTGGAGCAGAACTTCCAGGGCCTTGAACCTCTGGAGATAGCGAAGCCTGTGAGAGTTGAGATGCATGCTAGGAAGAGCAGCCCCAGTCCCAAGCTGATCTGGGTGTACTGCTTTGGTAAATTCTCACCCAGAAGGTTGCTTTTGGTACCCTTTTGCTGTGACCACTAGCCCAGACCTTTCTGAACAATTAGCCCTGGTTCTGTCTACATTGTTTCCCTTATTATTATATTGTTTCTTTCTCGTTGTTTTGGTTTTACTTATTCTGGTTCTACTTATTTAAATGGTGGCGATGGTCCTGAAGTATAGATAGGTTGGTAGAGGGGAGATACTTTTTGGAGTTATTTTCAGTTTTATAATGAGATTTAATGCTATGTTTTCTTTAAGCCTGCTTTTGAAAAATGTCGAGATTTCATTGTGGCTGGCACAGTGTTTGAACTGAGGTTGTCACACTTGTCAGCAAGTGTCTTTACTTTTGACTTGAGTTCAGAAGAAAGTGTCCTCTCCTCTGGCTGGTTCCATTGTTCTCTTCGGGGCTGAGACTGAGACCTTGGGCCTTGGTGTGAGTCAGCAGAGCTCTTGCCTAACTTCGGTAAGGTCCGAAGTCAGCTGACTTCTAGAAAGGTGAGGCTCTCTCTTGAACACCTACTGCCATTCCGGAGGTGCCTGTCTTCCTGTGCATCTGTCGAGTTACTGGTTGTGGTTAGTCTTTTGAGATAGGGTCTCACTGTGTAGCCCAGGCTGGCCTTGAACGTAAGGCTATCCTTCAGCCTCCACTTCCAAGATTAATTCCACACCTGAACCACCACACTTGCCTGTATCCGTCAGCTGTTGCTTTAGATTCCAAAACCTTGTTAGATGTGTATGTCTTCTTGATGATCACAAGCACAGAAAACCTTTCTCTCCTAGAAAGACCTCTTTTTTTTTTCTCACTTTGTTTCTCAGGCTTCATTCCAACTTTCTGTTCTGCCTCAACCTCCAGTTCTCTGAGTAGTTGGAGTCTCAAGATTTAACATCATTGCTTCTAGTTCAAGGCTTCCTCCTCCTCCCTTCCTTTCTCCTCTTACAGGGTAGCTAAGTCTAGCCTTGAACTACTGATGATCCTCCTGCCTTGTCCTCCCAAGTGCTGGGAGTATAGGTGTGGGCCACCACACCCACCTACATATTACTCCTATCCCCTTAATTTCAGTCTTGTCATGTTGCTTTATTTTATAAATAAATTTTAATTGACTTTAAGAGTTGTTTTATAAAGTACTTTGATCTACTTATGATTATCGTTATCAATAAGTTGGAAATGTTATTTTTTAATTTGTTAGCCTTTCCCTTTTTTGTTGTTGATATGTTTGGTTTGGAGATGGTCTCACACCGCAGCTCTAGCTAGCTTGGAGCACAACCGTGTAACCCCGGCAGCCTTAACCCATCCGTCCTCCTGCTTTGGCCGTAGTGTTGGCATCGCAAGCATGAGCCACCATGCTCAGTCTGTTAGTATCTAAAAACAGACGTAACGCTGGGTGTGGAAGTACACATGCCTTCAGGACGGGACGGAAGACAAAGAGGTCAAGATTTCAAGACCGTGCTGGGTTACATGAGGCCTCATCTCAAAATTAATATAATATAATATAAGAATGCATTTATGTGTAGCATTCATCTTTCTGTGACTATATAGAGCTGATTAGCTACCATGTATTAGCCTCCCCAGGTCAGATAGTGTAGGGTTTTGGTTTGTACTGCTTATATTTTTACCTCTCCAAGTAACCATTAAATATTTAGTGTTAAAATTAATATTCTGCTGGTTACTTTATTCACCACTGTCTATGTGTCCAAGTTTGTCCTTTTTGGAACTATCTAGTGGTTTAGAGGATTTTGTGTTTTAGTTTTGTTTGTTTGTTTTTTAAATTTATTAGCAGGGGCCAGAAGAGGACAATGGGTTCCCTGAAGTTAGATGCATGCAGTTGTGAGCTATTCAGACATGGGTGCTGGGATTTGAAAAAGCGTCCTCCAGAAGAGCAAGTACTCCTAGTCACCTAGCCATATCTTTAGCCCTTTTTGTTTGTTTTTGAGAAGGTTCTCACTGCCTGGTCTAAAACTTGTTATATAGAGGTTGTCTGGCCTCCAGTTCACAGAGATCCACCTGCCGCCCTCCTGAGTACCAGGATTAAAGGCATGCGCCATCAGGCCCAGTATCTGGTAATTTATTTTATTTTATTTTAAGTTCATGTTGTAGTGCAGTTTTGAGAGAGGGCCAGTTTGATTGACAGGGTTTGTTTTTGTTTTCCCTTGATTTTAAACGCAGCTCTTGAGTCTGATTTGAAGGAATTACACCGTACCTGCCTCTTACACCAGTTCTACTCTGGTTGCCTTAGCCACGACTTGCCCCTCTTCCAGAGTAGTAAGAGTTCTTTTGGCCTTGAGCGTATAGAACGTGGCCTGTTGATCCTGCTGGGGATCTCGTCACTCTTGTGTGTTCTTGGACCTAAAAGCTCAGATTCTCAAATGTGGAATTCTGTTGTTTCTCATTCTGTCTTGTGTGTTGGAAAGGGATGGGCTGGTCTTAGGCAGCATTACTCAGTGAGGTAGGGGATTGCCCTCTGCTGTGTAGGGATGATGCCAAGAGCTGCCTGGAGACAGAGAAAGTAGCAGGCAGAGGTACTGGCTGGGGCCTGAGAAGGAAAGCATTGTCGGGGAGGACGGTCCCTCCTCACCCCCAGGAGCCAAGGCCTGGGACAGGCTGCTGAGG